CCGGGAAGGCCAGAGTCGCAGGCCCGCCGCCTCCCACTCACGCACGCAGACTAGCTGCAGCGCGGAGCGCGCACGCGCGCTGGCTGCGTCCTCACCCTCCCATCCGCGGCAGCGGGAGGGGAGCGGGGCCACCGAGACGAGCGAGCGGAGGAGGGCCAGAGCGGCCTACGCGCAACTGGCCCCTAGCGGCCCTTGTCGGCCTGGGGCTCCGCTCCAGAGCCGCAGTCCCTGGCGCCGTGGAGAGCCGCTGTCCTAGCGCCTGGACGATCCGCACCAGCGGCAGCGACCGGACCCCAGCGCCTGGGACACCTAACTTGATAACGCTAGCCTGGCCCTGCTTGTTCTCCGGGTCCCTTCCTGCTGCGGAAAGGCTCGGCACGCCCCTCTGCGATGCAGCTTCTTGAGGCTGCACAGACCCCCCGGAGTTGCCACGTCCGATAGCCAAAGCTGCAGGGACAAATCTTGCGCCACCTTAACAATAAAAGTAAATGCTAATGTGTCTGCACCGCCTCTCACTCGGCACTTTATAAACATTTGGCACGGTACTAGCTCTCATCTTCCCTTGGGAGGGTAAGTACTTCTGTTTATTTACTTGCGTTTTTCTATTATTCAATTGAGTTACGATTAGAATAGGTATATCTATTTCCCTATTCATCTTTATTGGAAAACTTGATGTTTGCATTCTTGCTTAGTAGCTAGTTTCCCAACTGCCCTTTTAACCTCATTTCTCCCTTGTGTGGAAGCATTCATGTTATTCAACGCCCCTCCCCCAACAGCTCAAAACAATCTTAGACATTTTCATCTAAGGGGAGAGAAAAAAAAAAGAAAACAGCGTCAAATGTTCTGTTCTTGTAAAAATTTCTGCCACCATTTTCTCTGCTTCCTAAAATTTCTTTAGTAGAGACCTGAGCCAGAGCTTTGTGGTGACCCAAAGTATCTAAAAACCACAGTAGCCTATGTTTAGTTTAGTAATGTCACAATGCCATGTGGTTCGCAAATTCAACAGCAGTGACACATTTTACTATTTTTTGCTTGGGACTCCCATAACTTAAAATATCTCTTATCATGTACAATGGCATTTATAAGTATCATATTTTCTGACTTTTTCTTAACTTTATCAACTGAAACTTAATTACATCACATCTGCCCTTTCTAGTAAAGATTGTGACAGGTATTTTTTTTTCTTTTTTTCCCAGAGACAGGGTTTCTCTGTGGCTTTGGAGGCTGTCCTGGAACTAGCTCTTGTAGACCAGGCTGGTCTTGAACTCACAGAGATCCGCCTGCCTCTGCCTCCTGAGAGCTAGAACTAAAGGAGTGCGCCACCACTGCCCGGCTGTGACAGTTATTATCTATCTTAAAAATAAAACTACATGCTAATGCTTCATATACTTGTAATATGGTTAAAACCAAAAGCTACCCCAAGTTATGATTCCAGCCAAAAGCAAAGAACCATGACATACGTGTGTGTGTGTGTGTGTGTGTGTGTGTGTGTGTGTGTGTGTGTGTGTGTGTGTGTTTGATGAGCCTCAGTAGTCTTATCTTGAGGAAATATATAATTTTCTTTTAAGACTTCTAGAAATACAATTCCTTATTCTCAAAAGTCAAGTTGGGCCAGATGTGTTCAATGCCTTTAATCTCAGCACTCTGGGTCAGAGACTGTTGAATTTCTGTGAGTTGGAAGACTGCCAGATCTACATAGAGAGTTCCAGGACAATCAGGGCTATGTAAAGAGACCCTGTCTCAAAACAAAAGTCAAGTTGGTTTTCTTTCCCGTGGCAAAAATATAACTACATATAGTCAGTTAACATAGCATACATCTATCTAGGAATACAAGAAACTGATGGTGAAAGGTTTGAACTCAGCAAGATCCAGCAACAGAATCTGGTATATCAAGTAGAATAGCCTGATGATCTTGGTACAAGGTTCTTGAGTTTGCTATTCTACTCTCCAACTCTACCTCCTTTGAACTGCTAGCAACTAGGAAAGCTAGATTGCAAAGAACATGAATGACATCAGGCATGGTGGACAATGCGTTTTATCTTAGCACTCAGGAAGCAGAAGCAGGTGGATCTCTGTGAATTCCAGGCTAACTAGGACTACATAGTGAGACTGTCTCAAAACAACAAAACAAAACCAACCAGCCAAACAAAAAAGTTACTAAGGTTCCTGATTTACCAAGGTATACTAAGTTACTAAGGTAGTACATTTACCATTTCTTTCAGTCATTGGTTATATTACCTTATGAAATTCTATAGGCCTTACTCATCTTCAAAACAAGAAAGTAGATATGCTTTTCTAAGTTATATTAAGATTCTTTACAAATGTGAGTTGGTTGGTGGTGGTGTACACCTTGAAACCCAGAACTTGCAAGGCAAAGGCAGGCCGCAGCTCTGAGTTTGAGGCCAGCCTAGTCTACAGAGTGAGTTCTAGAACAGCCAGGGCTACACAGAGGAACCCTGTCTTGAGAAAGAAAAGAAAAAAAAAAACATTCTTTACAGTTCTAAGATCCTCTAAAAACAGACAATTCTTTCTGCATTAGCCCTCTGTCATTAGTTCTAACTTATGCAGTCTCTGTTCATTTGTAGGAGTAAACTATAGAGAGTTGTAGCTTGTTTCCTGTTTTCATTTTAACAGCATCATCTCCTATGTGGCCCTGACTAGCCTGGAACTCACTATGTAATCAATCAGGCTGGTCTCTTACTCAGAAAGATCTACCTGCCTCTGCCTTCTTAGTGCCAAGTGTTCACTACGATACTCAGCCTGGAAATTTTGTGTTCTGAAAATGTTCTGGAAACATTTATGTGTTTGTTTGTTTATTGTGTTTGTGTGCCTGTGTAGGTGAGCACATGTGACATGGCACATGTGTGGAATTAAAGGACAACTTGTGGAGTCCATTCTCTCTTTTACCACAGAGGGATCTAATTCAAATTATCAGATCTATCTATCTTTCTTTCTTTCTTTCTTTCTTTCTTTCTTTCTTTCTTTCTTTCTTTCTGTTTTTGTTTTTTTGTTGTTGTTGTTGTTTTGTTTTGTTTTTCAATACAGTGTTTCTCTGTAGCTTTGGAGCCTGCCCTGGAACTCAGGCTGGCCTTGAACTCATTGAGATCTGGCTGCTTCTGCCTCCTGAGTGCAGGGATTAAGAGCGTGTGTCACCACTGCCTAGGGCACTTCAACTTTTTAAGGAATTTGAAGATTGTTTTTCATAGCACCTACATTATAAACATTCCAAACAGCAGCATATGAGGGCGCTTGTATTTCCACATGCTACATATTCATTAATGCTTGCTGCTATTTTTGTGAAAAAGTTTGACTTTATACTTGTGTATCAGTTAAAGCTTAAATATGAAGTTGTGATCAGAGAAGTGTTCTACTTGGTACAAACATTACCATAAAGACTAGATTTAGAAGTAATGATCCAAATCAATTAGATAGTATAGTCAAACTGATCTTTAAACTGACTTTAGAGTTACAGATCTGATTTTGATTCCCATAAGCTGTTGCTTGTGGTAAATTGTGGTGATATTTTGTTTATGATCTAATAAAGCTTGCCTGAAGATTCAGAAAACAAAGTCAGCCACAAGCCATGGAAGCTAGGCAGATACCTTTAATCCCAGCAGGCAGAAGCGAGGAGGTAGTGGTACACACACCTTTAATCCTAGGACTCCTGTTTAAAAGGTAGATGGATATTTCTGAGTTCAAGGCTACCCAGGGATACATGAGATTGAATCAGACTAAAAGAGTAACAGATCACTTGCCTTTAATCCCAGCACTAGAGGGGTATAAAAGATAGAAGCAGGGACTTCAGTGGTCAGTATCAGGCATTCATTCTCTAGCCAGACTGAGGAGAGGTAACAGTTTGAGACTTGGTGAAGAGCTCTTGCATGGATCAGCCCTTTCAGCCTGAGTTAGAGGTGAGAGTTAGTGGCCTGATGCTTTTCTGATACTCAGCTTGATGTTTGAACCCCAATATCAGTATCTGGGTTCTTTTATTTTTCATGCTGTAGTAAATATTTCAACTCCCTGAATCACAATTATACCTCCCTCATATCATACTAATAAATTGTAGTGTAGGCACACAACTTTAATGCCAGCACTCAGGAGGCAGAGTCAGGCAGATCTATGTGAATTAGAGGCCAGTCTGGTCTACAGAGTGAGTTCCAGGACAGCCAGAGCTATTACACAGAGAAAATATGTCTCCAAAAACCAAAAAAGAAAAAAAAAACTGAGAAAATTTTATTTCCAGAATTATAGTCAGGACTTTACATTCTGAATTTTACTTTGAGGATTCATATTGAAAGAAAATAATTTAAAGTTACTAATATAATATTAGACACTAATAATGTCTTAGTTCTGGCTATGTGATAGTTGATACTAATTTTCATCTTGAGAGGATCTAGAATCACCTAGAAGACAAACCTTTGTGCATGTCTATGAGGAAGTTTCTAAACCGAGTTAATTGAGTTAGAAGGCTCACACTAAATGTGGGCGGCACCACTTTATGAGCTGAGCTTGGCCTTTCATCTCTTTCTGCTTCCTGACTTGTGGATGTGACCAGCTGTCTCATTGCACCTTCCTCAGTGTCTTCCCTGTCACAACTGTATACACAGACACACAGACACAGACAGACACACACACACACACATTCGCACACTTGTAAGCACCCGAGCACACACAACTGACAGAGGTGTTTATTAGCCAGGTACAAAGGCTGGAGTTCAAAGGTCAACTGTGTATTTTGTAGGTGCATGAGTGTTAGCTATTCAGTTAATCATATATTCAATGTGCACCGGGTGTTGCAATAGACTGGGGGGGGGTAAGCAGTAAACAATATAAAAACAATATAAGTGTAGCCCTTATCTTCACACAATCTGCAGAGCAATAGGCACTTTCTGAATACCTGTGTGAACCAGGCACTGTGTTGGATGTAGCATGTATCTTTGCCTGGAGTGGAGCAGTCCAGAATCCTCCTCCAAGTCAAAATAAATAGAATCCAAGTAGCCACCTCTTTTTAGAGGCTTGATTTCATACGCTATAGATAAGACAACATCTAGTATGGCCAGAGAAAATAGAGGTCCAATTAAATGTATATTTCAGATAAGCAAAGACAATGTCACATGTTTCAGATAAACAATAATTATTTTTACTGTTTGTATCTGCTATAGTTTTTAAGATTATATCTTATATGTATATGTGTGTGTTTAGTGTGTGGAGTGTGAATGTGTGCACACACATGTATGGGTAGGATTTGAGTGCCAGATAAGTGTAATAGGCTCAAAAGATAAACAGTAAATGACTGTGACATACCTTAATTTTTTTAGATGCTTTTTGTTAAGTATCACATTTTTAAAAGATATTCTTTATTAGGATGAGGAAGTGCCCATCTGTGCCTGGTGTGTTGAGTTTTAATTATGAATGTTGAACTCTATTTAATGCCTTTGCTGTATCAAGTGACATAATCAGATGGTTATTTTAAAATTATGTTAACATAGTAGATGGATTTGTATTTCTTTTTTACTCATTTTTTAAAATTATGCGTATGTATTATTATGGTCAGGCAGAGTTTTTTTGTT